CACACACACACACACACACACACACACACACACACACACACACAGCAGTGGATGTCTTCTCATCATATGGTGGGCAGTGTTCATCCACTGAGGGAAGGAGGGTTGGTGGAAGGAGGGTTGGTGGTGTGTGTGTGCGTGTGTGTGTGACTCCCCAGCACTCTATGGCAGTTCAGGTAAATCGACAGCAAAAATTAGCTTAACTTGAGGACCCACATCAGCATTGTAATGAGGGTGTGTAGTGTTGTCGGGGTGTCCTTCAGGTGTGATATTTAACTGAGACTATGTCTGCCTGTTCAAATGCACAGAAAGATCCCATGGCACTCTATAAAGATCATAAGCAGACCCCCTCCCCCTGCCCAACGTCACCACAAACTGATTACTGCTAATTCATTTCATTTGCTAAGTGTGGTACTTTGTCTGCAGTTTAATTGTTGCAGTAAGCCACATAACTATCCAAGAAATACATTCCGTGAAATTTCAGAAATAGGTTTGCAGGCTCTTTAAGGAGCTGGTTCCTGTTTTCCCAATCAGTATGAAATTAGGCACCAGGCTCCAAATTCAGGAGGGCTATGGATTGACTGAGCACTGGTTCATGTGAAAGTGCTGCTGCCTGGTGTTTTATGAGTATTGCGTTGTGTTGTTGCTGTTTAGTGGTCTCACACACAGACACAGGATATGATAGAATACTTAAAAAGAACTTGTTCCTCTTAAAGGGAAGGTGCATTGTGGCTGCAAAAGATAGTGGCTTCCTTTGTGAACTTTTAATAACAAGAGCAAAAGAAAACATAGCTTGCATTTATATAGCACCTTTTGGTGCAAAGTGGTCCAAGCCACTTCGGGAGCATTGTAAAATGAAATAGGCCATGGAGGCCCACAGGGTGATATATATATCGGAGAAAATGCAAGACTGTTTGAAAATGAAAGAATGCAAAAACACCAATACCTGCAATGCATCGAAGCCATGATAAGTGATCTAGTGGATAACGTGAGAGCTCTTTGTGATCACGTGAAGTAACACTGGTGGAGGATCCTTCATTCCCTTTAATGCTGCTTCAGCTGTGTAGGGTTAAGACAGGATGTCTGCTGGGAAGGTGCGAAACTCCAGCGGTGAGGTCAGTACAGCAATGCAGAGTCACTCATATCACAGACCCTTTGCCCTGCCCTGCCCTGCCCTTCATACTGCCAGCAGTCATCAGGCATGAGTGCACATTCTGTCTGACCAAGATGGCATTGTGTGCCCTTCCCGATAGTGATCAGTGAGCTTTCAGGTCGTATTTATGGGTCTGGGCATCTCTGGCATGTCTTGTCCGTCACTAATTGACTTTGAACTAACTACTTTGCTCAGCCATCTCAGAGAGCGAATAAGAGTCAGCCACATGGCCGTGGGTCTGGAGTCACATATAGGCCAGACCAGGTGAGGGTGACAGATTTCCAAGCAGCATTTGTGGAGAGAAATCAGAGCCAATGTTTCGGGTCCAGTGACCCTTCCTCAGAACTGCCAGACCTGCTGCCCTTTTGCAGCAATTCCTGTTTTTGTTTCTGATTTCCAACATCCGCAGTTCTTTCAGTTTTTTTTCATCAAATTTCCTTCCCTAAATGTCCATCCAGTGAACCAGATGGGGTTTTACACCATTCTACGATAGGTCCATGGTCAGAGCACTAGCTTTCAATTCCAATTTTTAATCATTTGTTGAATTTATCTTTGAACCAGTGTCCCCAGGGTATCTTGCACACTGTAATCCAGTGAGCTTACCACAATGCCTGCAACCCTCCAGAGATCTCATTTCCAAAGCTTCATTGGCTGCATCTCATCTCACTACATGGTGTTACACAACCTCATTTAGCCTGCTATACCAGGAGAATTGTGCCAAAGTTCAAGAGTAAACCACTGTGGAGCTAAAAATCTGAAATAGAAACTTAACCAGGGTCACAGTCTAAAGGTACAGGGTAGGCCATGTAGGACTGAGATGAGGAGAATTTCCTTTTCACCCAGAGACTGGTGAGCCTGTGGAATTCTCTGCCACAGGAAGTGATTGAGATCAAAACATTGAATATTTTCAAGAAGGAGATATGGATTTTGAGGCTAACGCGATTAAAGAGAGTGGGGGAAAAGTGGGAACAAGGTGCTGATTTGGATGATCAGCCGTGATCATATTGAATAGTGGAGCAGGCTGAAAGGGCTGAATGGCTACTCTCCCTATTTTCCATGTTTCTAAAGTGCTGGAGAAACTCAGCAGATCTGGCAGCATGTATGGAGAGAAAGAAACAGAGAGAATGCTTCAAGCGTTTTTAATTTTGATTCTTGAAGAGAGCCCATTTGTCAGTAAGACCTGTGAAATGTTTGAAAGGTCTGATGTCCTTTCTGGAAAATCGGTGTCTGTCTATTTGTTCTCATCTCCTAGGGACAATACCTCTTGCCAGTCACACATTATCAGTGGGAGTCTGAGGAAAAGGAGTGGAATAAAGGGGTCTGTAGGAGAGCCGATGTGTTCACCAGATTTGAAGATTGAAAGATAAACCATTGTACTGGCTCTAATCAAAATGCTAACAACCCAATTTCACCCTCTTTCAAGGAGCTCAGCATTTTGTGTTGGGAGTAATGGCAATTTGACAACTATTTTGTAGAAGCCTGTTGACTGAACAGAAAACCAGCTGCCAGTTAGCCTGATCTATTTGCTGGGATTTATCAGTAAAGAACTAGATTTAACAATTTGCATGAACAAAACTCATGACGGTGTCCCAGTTCAAATGGCCTGTTGATATGTAGTGCCACCTACAGGCAAACAAAGTAAGCTACATGAGTTCTTTCCCATCCCAGATTCCTTCGCCTCTGGGTGAGCACCAGGTTTGTTTATAGCTTTTAACCCTTTATGTTTCAGCTTGTGACTGCAACGTGAATGGTTCCTATGGCGAGGCATGTGACCCCAAGACCGGCCATTGCCAGTGCAAATCTAATGTTCTGGGGCAGAAATGTGACCAATGTTTGGTATGTATTTGCAGTTCCTGTGCACTGTTTAAACAATCAGTTTATTCTGAACCCCATGTCCTAATACAAAGCACATAATAAGATACCAGCTTTGATGATAAGGTCAGCAAAGCATTTCCTCTCTATTTATCAAGCAGTTGATAGGAAACAGCAAGCTTCTTGCTGGGCGATCTCTTAACTTCACCTGACGGCACAGTGCGAGCTTAAATCCACAAGCGAGTTTTCAACATAGGATAATATCTGTATTACTTAAATAAAAAGCCAGATGCCTAAACCTTTACATCGCAACAAAAGAATCTAATTCATGTTGCAGTCTGCAGCCTGAAGCAACTGCTACACCACATTAACACTGCCCTGAGATTTGGATTTTTTTTATATTTAAATTCTAATCGTGGCACTGATCTGATTCAGTAATGAGACATTTTGACTTGTCTTCAGACAGCTTAAGTAAGGCTCATCAGACATGGTTGTAAGGCTTTTATTCGTCTGAAGTATTCAAATGCAGAGAAAACAATAGATACCTCAGAGGGATACTATGGCTGTAATCATATTGAGGAGTTTAGATGTGATCATTCTGAAAGCAAAGCTCAGCATCTAATAGGCTCTTTACCAAGCTCAATAATATCTGGTTATCATTCTAACACGTCCAGTGCTCCCTAACTTTGTATAGTAGGGAGATGACATTTTTATTTTTGCTTTTTCTTTGCTTTTTTGAAAATTGTTTTTGGTTTTCCCAGATGGCCAGAAATAATTGTGAGTGAAGGATTGCTATTTGTAATATAATTATCTTGACTTTATTGAACAGTGGTCATGTCATGACTAAGGCAGAGAATTTGATATTTTATTGAAGTACCCAATCCCCTTGATCACCTCAAACATGAGACAGAAATGCTACACCATGGACTGGTGAGACATAGTTACACCTCGGGCATTTTGCACAAAGTCGACTCACAGAGCTGATCTTCGTCTTTGGAATGTATTTTGGGATTTGGGTCATTGCATGGCTCACAAACTGCTCTCCCAACTGATGTGTCTGTCTCTCAGGACTTCTGCCATTTCCCACAGGGTTTGCATTTGTAGTGCAGTTTCGAGCTACAAGGTGGTAAGGGTTGGGAAGGTCTGTCCTGATTTTGGTGACACATGGCTCTGAATACTGTTTAAAGGCCCCATAGACATCACCTCTTCCCAAACTCACTTCCCACCCACTCAGCCATCCATCCCACTGCACTGCTACACTATGACCCCTCTATGTACCCTCCATTCTCAGTCACTCAGTATGCACACTGTACTGTTCTCACATTTAATGGAATATCAGTGGAGAATATTTTATATTCCTCAGAGGAAAATATAAACCTCTCTCAATTTAATAAAAGCCAGAAAGCAAAGCTCAGCAACTAATTCACTTTACCCCATGCCTAATATTAGCTGGCAATCATTCTCATACATCCATTGCTTTTCTAATAGTGTACAGTAGGGAGATGGTGTTTTATTGAGAAAAGAATGCATTCAACCATGTAAAGAAAATCGTAATACTTTTCATCCTATTATTCTATGTCAGCAATTAGAAACTACATCAAAGACACAGTATGTTATTGTAAATTCAGCTGAATGGAACATATACTATGCTGTAGACAATTAGTACTTGACACTCAGCCAAGCATTAATGATTATAACCTCTGTCCAAACAATAGAGTAATCTCTAAGATGGAAAGAACATAAGGTGCTTATTTTAATTTAAAAACAGAGTGCCTGTCAATATCTGGCTGGATTATTATGAGTTACAAACAACTTGTCTGACCTTAGAGCACTTTTCATGTAGAGAAACGTTGCAGGGCTCTTCACAGAAATGCCATCATACAAAGTTTTGGATGGTAAGGAAGTCAAGGAAGTGTTAAAAGATTCCAAATATGAAGATGAATATTGTTAAATTAGAGGCATTGATAGCATTGCCAAAGTATATCAGTGAAGATAAGGTTGATCAGTGAGTCAGACTTTGTTCAGGTTAAGATGCAGATATCAGAGCTGCCATTGATAGACCGTAGAGAATGAGACACTGGGTGGGAAAGCATTGGAACAGTCAAGTTTACAGCTTGCAAGGGTGTAGATGCTGGTTTCGGCAGCAAATGGATTAAGGCAGGGCTGGAATTAGATGCTGGATGCCAAGGTGACAAGCAGCCTTCCTCAACACAAGTTGTGAGTTTGTGAGTTGAGGGGAAAGGGGAGCTGGAGTAGATGATGCTAGTCTATTGTTTGTGGAGGGATACTTGCAGTCTTCCAAAAAACAGATGAATATTTGAAGCAGAGGAAGATTCCAGATGCTGAATAGAAAGGAGTAATGAGATGTGTTTTAAATTATTCTCATCAGTACGGAGACATTTGTTGGAATAGTCTCCTTTTGTGCAGTGAATTCTGTGGATCTGTGAATATTATTCATTGGTTTATACTGTTTCCTGTAGCTTTTAAGCATGTTCTTGATATTTTTTATTATTTCCTTTGTATCACTTAGTTATGTTAAGATGAAGTTATATGTGTTACAGTGTTAATGTGCCGAAGACTTTCTTTCTTCTTTCAACTTATCTGGATTCCTCAGTCTATTTTTCAAAACAAAAGAAGTGCTTTTATATCAACCGAGATGATAAGTAACTTTAATGACCATCGCTGCTAACCTGGCTAATGCTTGCCACACTAAACTTGCTGACTCGTTTGCCTGAAAAGCATATTTTTAGGGAATTATTCAAATTTGCTTTGGCCTCTGCTCTGATTCCTAATCAACGCTTTTACTGTGCCTAACAGCATGGGTATTTTGGCTTGAGCACTGGACAGGGCTGTGTTCCCTGCAACTGCAGCCAATTGGGCTCCCTCTCTGAGGACTGTAGCGAGGAAGGGCTCTGTCGCTGTGTGCCAGGGGTGAGTGGAAAGAAGTGTGACCACTGCGCACACGGCTTTTATGGATTCCAGGATGGTGGCTGCACACGTAAGTGTTTACCCTCCTTTTGGAAGCACCCAGTGAAAGTGATGCTTTGTAAACAATATTTTCAGGAGTAACTGCTATTGTGCATCATTAAACTAAAAAAAAGCCACTATAAGGTTGTATTGTTATGACAGCATAGAGTAGCAATCACTGAATAGACTCTGAAATCAAGCACTCATCAAATCCATGGGGTTATGGGATGCATAGGAACATGTACTTCCTACCTGCAAGACAGGACAGATTCTCACACAAAGGAGTGTCAAGTAACTAAAAGCCAATTGATCTAATGTTCTTGTATTCTTTAAAGTGTTGTCCTTCTCTATTACTGAAGTGCATTTCCATGGCAGCAGGTTTCACTGTAGTACCTCGTAATAGTTTGCACTTGTCTTATCTCTGTGAGCCTGTTGTACCCTACAGTGCACATGCGCCTGACACCTAAACACCAGAGGTTTCCAATAATGTTACAGGAGAGTGAACAGGAGCTTGTGCACTGTCTGACTTCTAGACAGGGAAGCATTGAAGCCTTTCCTAACGCCACACCGACTCACATTTAGTGCTTGCAGTCTCCCAGTTGGTTGATCTGAGTCGGAAGGTTGTGGCTTGAAAGAACCACTCCAGGACTTGAGCACAGAAATCAAGGCTAATAACTCCAGTACAGTACCACGCAGAGTCACATTGGCAGAGAGTCTATCTTTCGAAGGGGTCATTAAACCATCTGAAGATGCCATTAAAGATGCCATGATACTATTCTGAAGAGAAGTGTGGGAGTCATCCTGGTCCCCAGCCAAAATGTATCCAACGTCACTAAGACTGTCTGGGCATTTCCACGTTGCTGTTTGTGGGAGTTCACTGGGTACCAACTGGCTCCAGTTTTCCTACATCACAACAGTACTTTGTCATTGTGTACAAAGCACATTGAGCCCTATAGTGGTTGTGAAAGATGCTTTTTATAAATGCTGGTCTTTCTTTCTTGGTGTTTAAACTTGATAGTTCTGAAACCTGGAAGGTCCATTGCAACATCAGTTAATAAAATCAAGAACTGCAGATGCTGGAAATCTGAAGCAAAAGCTGGAATTGCTGGAGAAACACAGCCGGTCTAGCAGCATCTGTGGAGAGAAAGCAGAGTTAGCGTTTCACATCCAGCGACTGTCCATTCTGATGAATCAAAACTTTAACTCTGTTTCTCTCTCCACAGATGCTGCCAGACCTGCTGAGTTTCTCTGACGATTTTGTTGCAAGAACAGTTGAGATTGGTTTATTTTCTTCCAACACACAACTCCTGAAGCTAGCTGCACAGTATTATTGTACAAATGCTTAGTGTGTTCTTATCAAATTGCTCTATATTAACAGAGACATTAAGTCATTTAAATTGAGCTGGCTAATAGCTTTTCAAATAAAGACGCTAATGCCATGTTACGATATCATGTAGAAAAATTTGATTTGCGCACATTAAAAATTCATACAATAACATCGCACAGCTTGATTTATGGACTAGTAGAGCTAAATATTGTTACATTGGATAATAATATTCACTGGAAAATAAGCACTCACACAGAATTTTGTGCTGAATGTTGAAGTATAATACGTTTAATGAATATTTTTGATAATGGCAGAGTGGAATAACTAACAAAATTCCCAATGTTATATTGCTGCAGCTTGTGACTGTGCCCACACTCGGAATAACTGCGTAGAGGATTCAGGCCAGTGTATCTGCCCAGCACACACACACGGAGACAAGTGCGAACACTGTGATGCCAACCACTGGGGTCATGACCCTGAAACTGGGTGCAAGGTATTGTAAGCAACTCCAATTTCAACTGTTGTGATTCTTTTTTTCATTTGTACCACCTTTCTGAGCAATTCTGATTGAGTAGCTGTTATCAATTATTACTTCCCTCAGGCATGAGTGAGCAATTAAATGAAATTAAAATCATTTGTGGGTATCTCTAACTGTTCAGATCGGAGAAGCTGATGATGATTAGAAGCTAGACTGCAACTGTCATGTTTACGTTGATAACGATTTCACACATGACAGACTTCCATTTGCCCCATTTTAATTTCCTCTTTGACAGCCTAAGTGCTGGCAACTTGTTATATTGAGCATTGCTCTATGTTGAACAAAGTTGTTAGCCAAAGCTAGTCTAATGTGGAAAAAGCCATGATCTTTATGAATTCTTGTGGACATATTGCTGTTAATTAGGTGTGAGTTTGAGATTGAGGTCGGCAAATGGATCAGACCATGGGTTAAACATACTTCACACGTACCCTGCAAAATAGCAGGGGGTCTGCGTTTATCATGAGGCCTTGATTTTTCTTTTAAAGCATGCCCCACTAACTGAAGCAGGCTGTTGTATCCACCAACAATAGGACTGGAACACCATTAATAATATCATATAAAAACTGCTAATGCTGTTTTCATTTACAAGGGTTAGATCTCTTTGAAATATGCCCAAGCAACTTCTTAGAATGATGGGCAGCACGGTGGCTCAATGGTTAGGACTGCTGCCTCAGAACACCAGGGACCCAGGTTTGATTCCAGCATTGGGTAACTGTGTGGAGTTCGTACATTCTCCCTGTGTCTGCATGGATTTCCACCGGGTTCTCTGGTTTCCTCCCACAGTCCAAAGATGTACAGGTTAGGTGGATTAGCATAGGGGAATGGGTTTGGGTGGGATGCTCTAATTTGGACGGTCAGTGATGGGCCAATTAGTCTGCTTCCACACTAGGGTTCTATGACTGCCAAAACTGGAAAAAAAAGTCATGCTTTAGTAAAACAGAAACTGCTAAACTGCAAGTTAAAACAATTCAAGTTGCTTACTTTTTCTCGCAAGAAGTCTGAGAGATCTACAGCAATTATCACAACAGAAATATGACTTACAGTTTTTAAGATATATTTTTTCTCTGTAAAATAAAAAGTCAGCTGAAATATAAAGTGTTTTTGAACAATAGGAATAGACACAATCAGAATTGGATCAAAGGATGACTATCAGAAATCAAGAGTTTTTTGACAGGGAATTCTGCCAATGCCACTTTTATCAAATGAGAAATTTGCCTTGAATTTGCAGATATTCCCAAGAGTTATGCAGCTGCTCTTCAATAAAAATAAAACAAACAAATTTGCACTATAAGAATGTAAAGAAAACACATTTACCACTATCATCTTAATTTATAGGAACAAGAGGTAGTCATTTACTACTTGAACCTATTCAGTGAGATCATGGGTGATATGCCACTTAACTCCATATACCCACTTCTGCCCCAAATCCTAAATTCTGTTGGTTATCAACAATCTATCAATCTGAGTATTAAATTTGACAAATGAATGAGCACAGCTCATTGCTTACAAAAGAGAGTTCCACATTGAAAGGTCTGGATGTAATTTTGTTGACTATGCCTCCAGTCTAAGACCTCCAAACAAACAAAAATAGTTTTTCTCAATCTATTCTATCTGTTTCCCTCAAGGTCTTGAGAACATCAAGCAAATCACTTCTAAATGTTACAGAATACAATCCTTCCTTGCAGATTAACTCTTTGTGTCCAGGGGCTGGATTGATTCTAAGTTGCAAGTCCATGTGAACACCAGCAAAACTGTGAAGGGTGATTTTTATAGGATGGGGCTCTTTGTGACCCAGAGATGGCTGTGCTATCAATATGTCACTGGAGAGAGTGGGAGCAGCAGGTATGAGGTGGAGCAACAGGAGACTGGACCATATTTGGGACTAGCAATAGGTGAGGGAAAGGATGGTTATTAAATGTCATTGGTGATTATTTTCTTCATCCAAACTTTTGCTTTTTGCATTAAATAAAACTATTAGATCACTGCCTGTTCCTGCCAGCTGGTCAGTTTCAGAGAGCTCCAGGCTGTAATTTCGTGGATGCAAAATTGACTGAGGGATGGTAAACAAAGAACAATGGTTTATGGATATATTTTGGGCTGGAGGAAAGTTTACAATGGACTTCCCCAGGGGTCATTATTTGCTTTTCCTGATGAATATAAATTCACTAGATTTTGGTGAGCAGTGGACAATTTCCAAATTTGCAGATGACCCAAAACCCGGAAGCATTTTAAACTATGAGGAGATCAGTGTAAAACTGTAAAAGTTTGTTGACAAGTTGGTGAAGTGGGCAGACAGGTGGCAGATGAAGTTCAACACAGAGAAGTGTGAAATGATACATTTTTATAGAAAGAACATAGAGAGATAGTATAAATTAATGGGCAGTACCCTAAAGAGTATGTGGGGGCAGGGGATCTGGGTGTGTCTGTCCACAGGTCTCTAAAAGTGGCAGGATAGGTAGCACAAGCAGTAAGTATACAGTGTAAGATTCTAGGCTGTATTAATAGGGGCATAAAGTACAGGAATGGGATGGTTATGTTGAAACAAACACAGTGCTGAAAAACACAGCATGTCTGGTAGCGTCGGTGGAGAGACAGTATTTTGAGTGCAGTGACCCTTCACCAGAGCTAACAAAGAATAGATGCCAGTTCTGAAATTTTAATTCTGTTTTCTCTCTACAGATGCTTCCAGACCTACTGAGTTTCTACAGCATTTTCTGTTTATTGTTTCAGATTTTCAGCATCTTTTGTGTTTTTTGTTAAGGTGATGCTGAAGTTGTATAAGACACCATTTCGACCTCAGCTCGAGTGCTGCGTATAGTTCTGATTGCCACCCTACAGGAATAATTGGAGAGAGTGTAGAAGAGGTTTATGACAATGTTTCCAGGGGTGAGAATCTTCAGTTTTGAGGAAAGATTAGACAGGTCATGACTCTTTTACTTGGAAAGGAGAAGGGTAAGAGGTGACTTGATGGAGGTTTTGAAACTATAAGGTGGCTGGACAGCATAAATAGGGAAAACTGTTCTCTCTAATAAAAGGATCAAGAACAAGAGGGCAAAGCTATGCGATAATTTGCAAAATAAGCAAATGTGACATGAGAAAAGATTTCTTCACACCAGTGATTGATCGGGATTTGGAAGGTACTGCCTGGAAGCAGTGGAGGAAGATTCATTTGAAGAAGACTTTAGGTGATTATATAAATAGAAACAGGATTCAGTGCTCTGCAGAAAAAACAAGAGATTCACACAAAGTCATAGCACTCATTCAGAGAGCTGGTCAGACACAAGGGGCCGAACAGCCTCCTTCTGCACTGTCAGAACTCTGTGATTCTGTAATGGCCACCTGCTCCCATGAAAGTCTCAGGCAGTCAGAAGACAAGCTCTTCACAACGCTCCCACCACACAGCCAGTCAACGAGGTTTGATAAAATTTCCAACAACAACACCCCTCCAGCTCTTCCTGTCTCCCAGCTGCCACCCTGGCCACTGTTCTGTCCTGATTCAGGGTGGGAAAATCCGATCCCAGGTACCATCTTCATAATTCTATTCTGCACCCCTCCCAAGGCCAGTGCACAGTTACCAAGGTGTGTGTTTTTTAAAACTGCCCCCAGAACTCCAAAAGCTTATATCTGTTCTTTTTAATTTTTGCAGTTTTGTAACTGCAGTGCAGTTGGTTCCGTTGGTCCTCGGTGTGACAGAGTAAGTGGTCAATGCCCTTGCAAAGAAGAGTTCAGCGGAGAAAAATGCAACAAGTGTGCCATTGGCCATCGAGACTACCCACAATGCACCGCTTGTAAATGCAATCCCAGTGGTACCAGACCCGAAAAATGTGACCTGACCCAAGGAGTGTGCAGCTGTGAGGAGAACACAGGGTTTTGTCCCTGTAAGGTACATCATCATTTATTTCACTGGGTCCTTGAGAATAATTGACTTGCTTCTCTTTCTATCGCACCTCCTTTCGTATTACTTTTATCCCCATGTTCTTTATGTTCGCTTGCATTCATATGTTGCTGTCAAGAGCGGCAGGCAATAACTTGCCTTTAGTTTAAGATAACCTTTTATTGCACATTTAACTTTGCATTCACCTCCTCTTCCTCTGCAGGGTAGCTGCAGAATGAGTTGACTTCTGCTTTTTATTTTCCTTTTGAAGTGGAGAACTGTGCCAGATGCTGAGCTGAGACAGGGATCTCAGCAGTTACTGGCAAAGACCTGCATTATCCCAACTCCCTGTATATCCATGTAAAAGTCGAGTCTTTGAGAACAAGGTTTTAGGTTAAACATAGAGTGGGTGCGAGTAATATTTTTGAAGGGTTGAAGTCTACCTGGAACTGTTGATGGTGAGGGTCGCTGGCCATGGTCCTGAATCAACAGGAAGTGCTTCTCACACGCAGTCTATTTTTGACATTTAAATAAGCAAAGAGCTCATTGTGAAAAAGTCTCAGTCAACTGTTCCCACCAACTCTGCTCCCAATAAAGCAAAAGGTCAAGGAAAACTTGGGATTTCCAGGACAGAGGTCCGGAGTTGACAGTAACACAAGATTGTCTGTTATTTGAGTATCTGAAGTATTCCTTGAAAGTGAAGCTGTGGTGGTGGCAAGGTCAGTCCCAATCCCAAATCTTTCTGTGCTGCTTCTAATGTGACAGTCTATCCTTCCTGACACAAGGATGCACAAACTGGCAAGATTAGGAAATCAGTATTTTGATACATTTACATTCAAAATGTGTGATTGAGGATTATATTTACTGTAAAGCTAGTTGATCCCTTTTGAAAATTCTTCTTAGCCCACCTGTTTCAGTGGAGATTTCCAAAGTAATGACACTGCTAATGTAGTTCAGTTGCTTCATTTGGATACTTCACTCTTTCCTGCTTCCTTATTGAAAGTCATGCCTCAGCACACCATCACCAAATGATCCTTGAAATGTGTGTAACATTTATTTCAGAAACGGGCCATTCAGCCCTGTTGATATTTACTGATATTTACACTCCCCTCCTCCTTCATTTGACACTGTCAGAGCACCCCTACTGGTTGTGCCTTCCAGTTACAACAGGCATTTTTTAAAAACATGGACTTTTACTCAGCTTTTTTCAATCATCAATGTTAATCCAAGTATAGATTTGTTAATTTACTTTAGAGTGGTGTGGAAACCTGCAGAATAATGAACCAAGTTTTCTGTGATGCTGTATTTGTTAAAAAAAAAAAATCCCTCTTCGGTCATGATGCTAATTTTGAGTATTGCTGCAGACAGTAAAACCATGTACCCTCCTTTCAGGACAGCGTCTCTGGTGTTCATTGCGATGAATGCAAACCAGGATCGTTTGCTCTCAGTCTCCAGCACCCAGCTGGGTGCAGCAGTTGTTACTGTTCTGGAGTGTCTAATTCCTGCTCGGAGCTCCAAGGACTGGTCAGAATTCCAGTAAGAATAGCTTCATAACTTATACTGGGCTATCGTTAGTTGTACCTCTCACAGAATGAGAAAATCATATCATATTTTATTGTATAATAATAAATAAATAATTATTAAATATGTAATAATTATTAAATAATCAATAAATTAAATAAATAACTATATTAGCACATGTTATTCCTGTAAATAATCTAAACATTGTTGACTGTATCACGATAAATATTCAGTGGGCTTCAGTTGATGAACTGGTAGTTCAAAGTAATTGAGGTGTTGGTCTTGTGTAGCATTGTAGTCATGTTACAGGAGTAACAGTCTGGGGGGTCAGACTAATATTCCCAAAGCTTTGGTTTGAATATCATCATGAGGCCTGGAAGAATTTAAATTCAATTAAATTGAAATAATAAAACTGGCATAAAATCAATATTGACTATGAAATCTGTGAATTGTTATAAAAGTCTATCTGGGTCAGTAATGTCTTTGAGGGGAGGAAATCTGCCAATGAGTGCGGGTGTGAATGGAGCAGTACGGTGGCTCAGTGGTTAGCGCCGTTGCCTCCCAGTGTTAGGGACCTGGGTTCAATTCCACCCTCGGGTGACTGTGTGGAGTTTGCACATTCTCCCTGTGTCTGCGTGGGTTTCCTTTGGGTGCTCTGGTTTGTTTCCACAGTCCAAAGATGTGCAGTTTAAGTATATTGGCCAGGCTAAATTGCCCACAGTGTTCAGGGATGTGCAGGCTAGGTGGGTTAGCCATGGGAAATGCAGGGTTACAGGGATAGGATAGGCTGTGAGTCTGGGTGGGAGGGTCTTTGTGGATCCAATGGGCCGAATGGCCTGCTTCCACATTGTAGGGATTCTATAACCTCACCTGGTCTGTGCTGCATGTGACTCCAGACCCACAGCAACTTTTAACTGAAATGGCTCAGTAAGCCAGTCAGTTGTTTCAAGCAGCTACAGAAAAGTAGGTATTGTGGGTGTACCCACACCACAAAGACGACAGCACTCCCTTGAAGCAGCTACCCACAGCCAGCCTTGCCTGTAGTGCTGTCATTTCAATAATGAACTTTTAAAAATCCCAAAGTTTTTGAAGCTGTGAAAATACATTCTTATCAGTCAGTGGTAAAAGTAGATAACAAACCAGTGAGCTGTATTGATCATTTCTTGGCCATAAAGTCCAAATGACACTTTTTAAAATAATTCAGCACGTTGTATTTGCAGATATAAATTATTTGTATTTTTAGCAAGGAATAATTTAGTTTCTGACAAGCTTGCTAAATTTTTATATCACTGCTAATAGCTGAGCGGAATAAGATGTTGCAAAGTCAGATTAACCATGACGTTGTGAATCAAATGACTGATACTTCAATATAAAGAGTCCAATTTAGATTGAAGTGAGTAAGTCTGGTTCCTCACTTTTATTGTAGCTGCAGATGACACAAGAAAAATGCATTGACAAATAGCACATCCTGCACATCCCTGAACACTATGGGCAATTTAGCATGGCCAATCCACCTAGCTGCACTTCTTTGGACATCTTGCAATGTAAGAATGCTAGTTGTGCTCAACATTGGATAACATTATCATTTGTGTCTGTGTAGCTGACCCTGACTCCTGACCAGCTGAGAATGCATGTTGTCACCCAAGGCAACCTAACTGGTACCAGAGAGGGCATCTTCGCTCAGCTCCCAGAGACCTTGCTGGATGCTGCACTAGTACAGAGGCATCTGCAAACAGAACCATATTACTGGTCACTACCTGCCCAGTTCACAGGCAGTAAGGTGAGAGAAACAGGTGCATATGCCACAGAAGTGAACAGTACTGGGCATTAAATTTCTGAAATCTATTGTAAAAATAAAGTTAGTGAATCAATGAAACAATTAGGAAATAATAACAAGATTCCTATTTTATACATTTACAGGAGACTTACTACCTTTAAAATGATATAAGGACATATGAGCAGAACTAGGCCAATCGATCCTTTTGAGCATGTTTTGCCACTCAGTACAATTATGGCTGACCATCTATGTCAATGTCTTTCTTCCTCGCTATCCTCATATTCTTTTACATCATTGGCATTTAGAAATCTGTCAGTCTGTACCATAAACATACTTAATCACTGACCTACCTCTTTTTTTCTAAATTCTGGAGACAATGCTATAAAGTTAACAAACCGACTTTGATGCCTGCCCCCTCCTCCCCGTCATTCCTGCTTAGTCAAATAGTTTCATTCCCTGTGTGAGGGTCTGACACTGGGAGCTATTCTTTGCTATTATCAATGTCTATGGAACAGGTTGACGGAGCAGATTACATGGCTGTGGACAGATAGACGACATTCAGTATGTTTTCCATCAAGATGGATAAACTGTTAAATCAGAAGTCGGATTTAAGGCTCCTTCAGGAGCATCATTTCCAATGAAGTTCCTCTCGTGGACATTTACTGTTCATTCAGATTGATGTAAATTACAAAACTGTTACAGTTTTATGGGTTATTTTGTGAAATGAAATCTTGCCCTGAGCTCAGCCGTAATGTCAAACAACACAATTATGAAAATAAATAACGAAAAATAACTCATCTTGAATTCATAATTCTATAAGAGGCATTATTTTTGAATATTCACATGGTTATTTTGGAAAGTAATGGCAATGAGTGGAAGAGTTTGCAGGCTGCTCATTTCATTTAGAAATGTAGCACAGTGAATAGCGAAGGAATGGCACCATCACCAAAACAGAAAAGTTCTTTAAATGTTGTTTGAATGTAGAGCTGTGAGGTGGAAGGGAGCTGCTACCTGACTGTCATCCCTAAGGCCCATACAGGCACCAATCAACTTCCCTTTCCCATCACCCAGCTCAATCCCAATGATACTACTCTCTGCTGTTCCCCCAGCTCACTCCCAATGATGCTGCTCCCTATCGTTTCCCCCAGCTCACTCCCAATGATGCTCCTCCCTGTAGTTCCCCCAGCTCACTCCCAATGATACTACTCCCTGTCGTTCACCCAGCTCACTCCCAATGATACTACTCCCTGTCGTTCACCCAGCTCACTCCCAATTGACTCGCACCTCCCCACTCTGTCTCCTGATTACTCTTCCCTATTGCTCATTGGCAAAAATCCACTGGTCTCCAATGACTAATTGAACTGGTATTTATTGGGTGTTTTGGTGACAGACGGTTTTACTATCCTTTTGTGTGAAGATGTGATTCTGAGGGCTGCTCAGAAGGTATGAAAGAAACTGGGTGGGATCCATAAATCATGGTACTGTGCCATTGGCAGCATGCCCGCTGCTAACGCACCGCATCCCCATTGCGATTTTCCAAACGGAGAGGGGACAAGAATTGGGTCACCTGCCCATGGTCCATACCCAGACAAGGGCCTTAAACATTGGCAGGAGGTGACGACACACAAAATGCTGTCCAACAGCACCTCATAGAGTCGTAGAGCTGTACAGACCGTTCGGTCCAATTCGTCCATGCCAACCAAATATCCTAAATAAATCTAGTCCCATTTACCATCATACCTGTCCAGTGTACCAGCCTCCCCCACTTCCTCTGGCAGCTCATTCCAAACACGCATCACCCTCTGCACGAAAATGTTGTCCCTTAGGTCCCTTTTAAATCTTTCCCCTCTCACCTTAAACCTATGCCATCTAGTTTTGCACTCCCCCACCCCAGGGAAAAGACCTTGCCTATTCATTCTATCCATGTCCCTCATGATTTTATAAACCTCTATGAGGTCACCCCTTAGCCTCAACGCTCCAGGGAAAATAGCCTCAGCCTATTCAGCCTCTCCCTATCCCTGTGTGTGTGTGTGTGTGTGTGTGTGTGCCCGTCCGTGTGTGTGTGTACGTGTCTGTGTCTGGGTGTGTGTGTGTTTAACAAAGCTTACCATGAGGTAAGGAGGCACCCTCGATGAACTACTGCAGTGATCATGGTCAAGCTTCAATCTTGCATCACCTTGAGATGTTCTGATCCTTTCTCAACAGCTTTTGGCGTATGGAGGGAAACTGAGATATGTAGTTGCATTTTATGCCCTGGAAGGCTCTGGAAGCTTAAACCTGGAACCCCAGATCCTACTGAAAGGAGGCCACAGCAGCAAAATGGTAATTTACAGGAACATGCCAACTCCTGCAAATGGAGAACAAAGCAGGCACGTGATACACATGACTGAGGTAAGTCTGGTTCCAGCAGAGGTTTTGGAATTTCTTTTCTAATCATCATTGCTTGTGTTATTATTTTAATAGGATCAAATTAAGATACATTTTAACAAGTGAACCATTTTAACAAGTGAACCTACCTATTGCTTATTTTAATATTGTGAGCATTATACTGTAAACATACCCATAGAACTTCACTGCATAAGGAGGGCATTACATTGGGGTGTATGTGACAAGGTCAGGGCTGAAGTATCATTTCTGTCTTCGGTTATAGACTCTAGATTGTCGCACCATTGACTTCAATAGAGTTCAATGTCAGTCCGGTCTTGTATTAGGCAATCGATATGTTTGACGTTCCTGCCCATCTCTGATTTGATCCCCTTTATGCCCTGTGCCAGCTCATTGCCTATCATTTTTATGGCATTTCCCTATTTCCCATAAATCAGAAATGATCAGAAACAGTGGATGCTGGGACAAACTCAGCAGGTCAGGCGGCTTCTTTATATTGACAGAGGGTTTCTGTCCCTGCTTAACCTGCCAAGCTTTTTCCAGAATGTTCTGTTTCTGTTTCCCACTTCTCAAGTACTTCTCTGAAGCCTGAATCTTCTGCCACTCTAAATATTTATCCGGCTTTCCCTTCAAGGACACAGTGGTCTTTGCCTCAAACACTCCATGTGGTAAAGTATTCCATATTTTTAACAGCTCTCCCTGTAAAGGACTTTCTCCCAAGTTCTCACTCAGTTTTGCTGCTGACCTTCACCAGTCCTACTCCAGGGGAATGCTCTAGTCTTGCACTCCAATTGGCGCTAATTTCTATATGACCAAAATCCTCATTTCAATTCAATTTTTTTCCACCTGATTTGCTAATATGCAAATTTTTTTCATTGGGATTGAAATTCAATTAAAACATCTTCTGTCTGACTGACTGGTGTGCACATTTCAACATTGTGATGCAAAAATTAATTGAAATCTGGCCCCATGCAAATTTCTTAGAAAGGTGAGCCCATCTAATAGCTCATATGCCTATTCAGGAAAAGAAAGTTGCCTGTCAGCTTTCCCTTTCGACAATAATTAGGAAATTAAAACGTTCAAAGTATAAACGACACCCAAAAATGTTTGAGAAATGAAATTCAAAGATGTTTTGAATGCTGATGCCTGACCTTGATGTTGAATCAAGCATGTAGTCCCTTTAAATTGCTGTGCACTGTTTTCAAGCTACCTTGACCCATTTTCAAGCCACACTTGACCTGTTCTGTTCACCTTACTCCATTCTTCAACTCTCATGTCCCTATCCAAAGTACACCGCGCACCCCCTGCCCCC